TGTGGAGGTTTAACCACGTGCTCAGATCTGTCCATCTGCTTAAATGATTTGCCAAACTGGGGCCACTATATAGAATATTTAAATATAGAAGGATCACATAAAAACTTCACTATTCCTAAAGTGAAATTTAATCAAAACGTGGAGCACCTAAGAATGTTAAATGATTCTTGCTACAAACAGCACAAGTCTTCCTCCCCTGAAACACTCACTCTCAAGTCAAATTAACCTTTGTGCAAATGACTTAAAAGTCAAACCTGGTAGCATATCAGTGGCAGGACAACAGCCTCATGCTAAATGTGAAAGTCGTGTAGTTGATGTAGAAGATCACAGGATGTTTAATTAGTAAAAACCTTTATTCATCACTGTTGCTATTGCTCTCTGTCCAGCTAGCTCCCAGGAATTAATATTATTCCTGCTTCAGCTGGTTTCCCTGATCCAAGAAGATGAGGTAATACTCACATGAAAGATGAAGACAGTATCAAGACTCACAATGCTCATTCACTGAAGGACATAATTTCTTCAAACAACTGTCTGTCCAGCTGTGCTTGATTTCCCCTCAGTATTATTGTGGGGCAGCACTATTTCCAGAAAAGGTAGAAATGAGGTCATTGATAGACATTGATACTGTAAAGAAAGAAGTCCTAGTGCTAAATACCAGATTGAAAATGGGTTTGAATGGGTTTGAAAACATTAGATCTTTTTTGAAATAGTTTGAAATATTAAGAATTGATTTAAACTCAACAGAGAAACCTGGAACTGATTGGAACCAGACTGTATTCTGAATGTAGGGGACTTAGTCACTCAAGAGATTTCCATCTATGAATTCCCTTTACTCAACTCTAAAAGAGCTGGCACATTCTCCCTGTGTTGGCAAAAACTTCAGTAAGTCTTTCATCTCAACTGAAAGAACAGCAGGATGCACCCCTATACATACAATCCAACACAAAGGACAACAACACAAAGGACTCCCTATATGAACCAAGTTAGTTAGGAAACACTCAAATAGTCAAGCCAACAATTTCCAAGGTTATCTATGTCATGAAGACATCCTTGTTTATTTTAAACCAGCATGCGTTTCAGTTGCAATACAATCAGCCACATTTACTGGCAAGCAACTTCAGAGGTGGGTTTTGAAGGCAGTCCAAATAGGAGGTAGGATACGAAAGTAGGGTTCCATTGCTTACATTCCACTCCCTCGTGAGCTCAATGTTTAAACAAGACAAAACCAAAACAAAACAAAAGAAAAAAAAAAAAGAAACAACAACAATTAGCTACTTGAAGTGTTTTCTGCTTACTTTTTCATAAGTTTGAGATTTAAGAAAAAAATTAAGAAGAAACTTAAGAAGAAACAGAAGGAACTGTTCCATTTGTAGATGACTATATGATTCATACTTTGCAAAGAGTCCCCTAACATCATGCAATTCTGCTGCTTTTTAGTTTCTTCTCCCCCTCAAGGAATTCAAATATTTCAAGATCAGTGAACCCAAACCATCAAAAAGTAGATAATAATTGTTAATAGATACACAAATTGAACATCAAACCTAGTTCTCATGGTGCTGTGATCGACTCACTTCAAAGCCACAGCAAATTGAACTTAAGAAAAATCAGTAACTGTCCTTTTGAGAAATTGTGCTGCGTTCTGATGGAATAACTGGATGACTATATGCATGTTTTACAGCTTTCCAGTAATTACTTGAATTTCCTTAGATACAATAAAGTCTTGCCACCTCACATAAGCTTTAATGGTGCCATTAAAACTTGCTTTTGATCACAGGATTGCCAAGCCATGTTAAATTAACATGGGTCAACGGATGCGTTAGGCTGTACTAAAACAAAATTTTCAGGTCAATTCTCCAAAGCCTTGTTCTTTCACATGCCCCACACTGAACTTTCCCCACAGCAGTCATGGTGGTGCCAAGCAGTTCTGAAACATTTCAAAAGAATGTTAACCTTAAAGAAACTGCTTCTTTTTGCTATGGGAAAAACCACTAGTTAAGCAACACTGAGGAATTACTGTAATAAAATAAATACATGTTGTATTTTTCTCCACCCTGAAGTAGTATTTTCCACAAAATTACTTGGAAGTTTGCCTGTTAACTCTTAGTACAATATGGTAACTTTCATTACCTACCAGTTTTTGTTAATTTTTTTAAAAAAAGAAAAAACTTCTCTTGCAGTAAATGAATAAACATTATGTTTGGATCTTAAATCATAGAAGTGGGGGATGGAGTTGGGGGTTTCAGGGAAAATCAATAAAAAAAGCAGTAAGGGAAATCTGCACTGCACTATGATACAACATCAGCATTATTTCTTACAATTGATGTCTGTACATTTAAAGTTTTGTTTTTAAGCTAATCTTCCTGTAGACAGCAATGTATAAATCTGTGGAAAATATGTTCACAATGTACAGCTCCATGACTTAGATAATGAAAAAAAAATATTTAGGGACCTTTAAATATGGGTAAGGGATCAGAGAAAACACAGAACTATTATATGAAGTTATTCTAATGTAACAAAATTGTTTGCATATTGACAGGTTACTAGATTGATTCCTTGTAACTATTACAAAATGCACTCTTTTGGATACTAGAAAGAAATACTGCATTTGCTTACTAAAAAAGATTCTCTAGAATTGGGATTTCAGAGAATATGCATCTATAAAACACTTAGGAAGACTATCCTGAAACCTCCAAAAACAGCTAAAACATACTACTGCACAGTTTAACATTCATGCCTGAATAAACCCATGAAAGAAACACATTTGATTTGACCAGAAGACCCTAAGTAAAAATTGCATAGTCTTCTAGTCCTGAATACTTTGAACAGATTTTCAGTTCTTGATTTTATTCCAAGGAAAACATTCATGGGAAGTTTAAGAAAATACTTTCATCCCTGTAATTAAAAAAGATTATATACTCAAAGGAAACTTTCTTTTAATTAAAAAAAGAAAACTGCTGAATTACATGGTATTAAATGTATGCATACACACCAAATTTTTGGAGTCCACCTAAAGAAATCAACAGAAATACCTAAGAGAGGTGATCCACTCTCAGTAATGTTGCACTGTCAAATCAGACAGAGGTATCTCATGTAAGTAATTCTTGCTCTGAGTAAATGAGATTCACTGAACAGTTTGCAAACTAATCACAAACTAACCATTTATGAGATTTATACAAAAACTTGAAAATAGGTAGTAAAACCCAATGACAATCTACTGCAAAGTAGCAATGACCGATACTTTTGACTTCTGCAGAATGGAGCAACCCTTTTGTTCACAGAGCAGAGGATTAAAAACAAACAAACAACAACAACAAAAAAAACCAATGAAAAATAGCAACCCTAAAACACCCAGAACAACAACAACAAAAATAATTCTACCAAAAAGACAAGCTCTGCAGTAGATACACAAGAAGGTGCACAGTGTGTGCATTAATTCCATAAACTCGGGTTCATTAATATGATTCAAAGACTTCTAGAAGTTGCCTGCTACTGTGTAGAGGTTATGCTCCATGTAATGAAAATGTGCAACATAAGCATCTTACTACCAAATGCCCTGCCTTCAGTATATGAATTTTGAAAAACCAAGTTAAATCTTCAGAAATGTTTCAATGAAAAAGCATTTTGATGAAATAACTGTTTTAGTCATTTTAAATATTCCCTTAAAGGTCCATATCGTCTGCAGTGTTCCAAACGACTTATTTACCTGCACAGAGATCTCATAAAGAAAGGAAAAATTTGAAAATATAGAAAATGTCTTGCAAATTCAAACAAATAAACTGTAATACTCTTCAAAAATACTTAATTTAATGGCACTCAGAGGAAGAAACACCCACAACATTCACAATGTGTGTGTCAAAGTTACAGACCTTTTGGTCCAACTCCCAGTATGTGGTACAGAGAACTATACTGCAGAAGTATGCCATCCCACATGCCACCCACGAACAGCCCTTTCCAAGTTCTTATTCCTTGTGGCATGAAAAGGTTCTTTCTTTCTCCGAACTTAAAGAAGAAATATTTGCATTCAGAAATACTAATGCTTATCACTCTTATTTTTTGGGGCTTCTCAGTTAATGTTTCATCTGTGTGCATTACAGGTTATAGATACCTCTCCGTGGATATTGCTGCATTCAAGAAGACAAGCACACATTCAACAGAGATCAATTAAAAACATATTTTATTGCAGGCATAAACCAACTGCAAAAAGCTGCCAATTTCTAAGATTTGGTTTTTAATTTCTTTTTTTTTTTTAAATGGAAGATGTCTTCAAGCAAGTCCTTGAAATACTTTCCTATGTTCAAAATCAAACAGGGAAATTTAGACTGACCACAGAGGCCAGACTGAAAGCTATGCCCAAAGCCATTTGAAAGGTATGTTTCTCAGATTTGCTACAAAATCATTCCCACTAAAAAAGTTCAGTATCACATTAACAGATCTCTGTTAATATAATTCTCAGAGTGAGTTTAAATATCTCCAGCGAAGCTTGCACAACAGTTAAGGTAGAAAACATAACTAAATCCACTTTCTATTAAATAAGAAACATTACTGAATTATGTGCTAACATGTTGTATAGAATATGTCAGTAAAAATTGTATTAAGATCACAAATTGCAATGTAAAGTGAAAATCCAAAGAAGCTTATAAAATCTTCAATACCTGATGTTAATTATACTGAATTCACTTCTACTTAGTATTTTCATAATAAACTACGAGTTCTGGCTTGCTGTAGTTCAGTTATCATCACTTTAACTCCTCAGATAAGGGAAGGCAAGGAAAAAAAGGAGAAAAAAAAATTCTGTGTGGCTGAACTAAGAGCTTAAAATAGCATATTCAAGCCAAAAATCTGACCCTTAGACAGATTGTTTCAAAGGCCAAAGTTGCTTGCTTTCCACTGAAGATGAAAATTTTCTAGTATTCCCAAAAAGATTTAAAGTGATTCATCTTCCATCTTGAAATAAAGAATTATGATAAAACAAGAATTTAAGTTTCTCATCTCTTCCTTCACAAAGTGGAAATCTTCCCCACATGCCATGTTCTTAGTTATTTTAAGTTCTAGATAATAAACCATAATCTATCATAAAAATTGGATTGGACTACAAATTACTGTCTATGGAAACACAAAAGATAACAAAAAAGCCAAGGAAAGACTTAACTGTGCACATCTGAAGATAAACTAAAAACTTTAGGTTTTGATTAAGTCCTACAGAAACTGGGTTAAAGGGTAGATTGTTCTGACATCACCTTCCTTGAACTCAAAACACTCACCTGCTAACTTTACCGGTGTACAAAGGAAAGTAGCTCTGAGTTCCAAAACTACTTTTAATGCCTATAGACCACTGCTAACATGGATTGTCTTTACACTTTGATTACAGGGAAGCAAGCTAAAAGAAAAAACTGGAGCTAACTCCCTGTGTTGCAAGAGAGGTAAAGAACGAAGAAAAAACTGAGCACAAGAATCATGAGAGATCGCCTCCAGGAGCTTAAACTCCGAGCCAAAGAACTACATATGGCTGGAGAAAATAACTGTCCACCTGTACGAGATGAGCAGGAAGAGTTTGAACAGCAGGCCATTATTTATGAAAGGGAGCCTATAACCGAAAGGCACTTCCATGAAATCCAGAAGCTTCAAAACGAGATCAATAATTTGGTGGAGGAAGTTCAAAAATTCAGTCAACAACAAAAAAGTCTGGTATCTTCAATGAGAAGGTTCAGTGTTCTTAAAAAAGAATCTAACACAGCAAGAGAAATAAAAATTCAAGCAGAGCATATACGAAAAGGTTTGGATGAACTGTCAAAAACAGTGAAAAAAGTTGAAAGTGAATATGGGTTATCACGTGCCATAGTAAGAATTCTGGCTTCCCAGCACACTTTCCTGTCCCGGTGTTACCTAAATGCTATGCTTTCGTACAATGAGGCTATAACAGCCAAACAAGAGAAATGCAGAAGATTTATTGTTCGTCAGCTTGAAGTAGCTGGTAAAGAGGTATCTGAGGACGAAGTCAACGATATGTTCCAACAAGGAAAATGGGAGATTTTCAATGAGAATCTACTCACTGAAGCCAAAATTACTAAAGCTCAGCTTTCAGAGATCGAACAGAGACACAAAGAACTGATCAGCCTAGAGAGTCAGATCAAAGATTTGAAGGAACTTTTCATCCAGATATCGGTTCTGGTTGAAGAGCAGGGGGAGGTCATCAACAACATTGAAATCAGTATGAACAACACTCAAGAATACACCCAAATATCTAGAGAAAAATTTGGACTTGCAGTCAGGTATCGAAAAAGAAACCCTTGCAAAGTAATATGCTGCTGGTGTTGCCCATGCTGCAAGTGACAAAGAAAACAACCTTCATAAGTAGCAGCAGCTCTTATGCAGGAAACTGAACTTATCAATCAATCCCAGGATTCTTTTATTGCTTCATTTTTCTTCCTTTTTCCCCTTCCACACTTCCACTGAGGAAAAATTGCACCTGTTTTTCCAAACTGAGTTCAAAGATTGAAATGAGATCTCCACCTGTGCCTAATTTTTATGGTTTCCACCGAAACACATAAAGTAGAGGAAAAGATCAAAGGAGACAAATAACACTTTCTTGTTCTTCCACTCATAAGAAGCATCAACAAAATGTGTCAACATGCCATATGTGCTTCTGGGAAACACCAAATTATTGTAAATTTCAGACAGAATTCAGAAGACCGGCTGAATTACCTTTTATAAAATAATAATTAGTATTCTTTCAATTTCAATTGCTGTTTGTTTTTTTTGTTTGTTTGGATTGTTTTGTTGTTGTTGTTGTTCTTGTTTGTACAAGTGCTCATATTTACTTGGTTCAGATTTCATTTTTTCCTCCCCAAGAACTTGAAGTACAAATAAAAGTAACAGAAAGCAGGTAATCTCAGTAACAATCGAGAAACTGATGCATAAACATTTCTGACTTCTTGTTTGGTTATCAAAACTACATATCACCACCTGTCTGAGAACTGTGCTCCATTTTCTCTGCACCTCCCTGTTACGTAGTGGTAGAATTTCCCACCTTGGTTTCTTCCTACTTCTGAGCAAATGCAGATCTCTTGCATCTCCTCACATCACACATTCCAGCAACATTTCAGATTCAGTGCAGTATAATCAACATTTGCCTTCGCTGTCCTTCTTGTAGTGAGGCAAGACATTTATTTGTACTGCTAAAGGAGTGGTTAGAAGAAGTAGATGAGGATCTCTAGAACACTAAATAGTCCTATGAAATTCTGTTATTTTGTATAAACCTAGTATATCCTAATTTAAGAATGTATAAGTGCCTGAATTAATAAAAATTAATACCTTTCCTTAGTACCTGAAATGAACATGGAATACAAGAGGACAATATGGTATGTACTGAGTTAACTGTATCAATCACCATTTTGGTTTCCCTTTTAAAGCTTTAAATTGCAGTCTAGTTTAACTATTCTAGATTACATATGCCAGACACTCTACATTGCAGATTAACCAGAGCGTGTTCAGCTGCTACCTCTTCAGGCCTGAAGGACATGCAATGAAATCCAGACCAAAGATGCTAGCAAGGATTACATAAGAATCAAACTCTCATTAATTTTTTGTATCAGCTTCTTTGAGTCATATTGATGTCTCCACACCCTTCAGATTTTAATTGCATCAAGGTATTAACAACACTTGCTGTTTCACAATTTTCTCTATTTACTTTTTATTTCCCTTGTATCTTTCTTTTCACTTTAGTTTCTCAGGTTCCCACCCTTAATAGCGCCATTTCCATCCAAAAAATGTAGGTGTTTACACATCCCCAATAGTTACATATATTTCTGTGCACAAATAAGTGTATTTCCATGTATGAATATAGTGTCCATGCATCAACTATTATATAAATAAATAGATACTTAAATCAATTTAAAATTATACTTTGCAATGGGATTTGAATAACTAAGATGGTAAACTCCCATAACTTCATGAAAATAAGCAAGCAGTTTTTCCTCTACCTGTGCTGAATGTAAATCTTCAGTAGAAGAACAGTAAAAGGTGCCTAAAAACTTATCTGCCAAATTTCCATATACATAAAAGACTGATTAACCACTAAAGCACACCACAGTTAAAGCTGAAGAAGTAGTTGAAGAACTACTGAATCCCTTCACAAAACTGAGATACTGCAAGAGCAAGTTCTGCTCAAAGACTGGAGAGAGTCAGTTAGAAGGAAATAACATCAATAAACTTAGTTTAGTCACAGTTAAACTCAATTAACAGACTCTGTCTTCTGACTAGCCGATGACATGGATCAGAAACAGGACTAAGTACCAAGGAAGTGCGTGAGCTCTGTGGAGGTTCAGATAAACACCCACATAAACTGTATTACAGGATTAGAGTGGAGATTTATATGAAAAAAAATAAAAATTAAAAAGTTATATTTGTTTTGAAACACTGCACAGTTGTCAGCTGTCCTAGGTTCATTTTTAGAAGAACAGATTTAAGTTAAACTAGCTGCATTAAGATGGCTTTATTGCCTTCCCCATACTACTACTAACATAGAAATAGTAGTTAAAATCTAAACTGTATTTCAAGATACAATTAGCTTTCTTAACCGTAATCCATTTCACCAAAACAGATTAAAAAGCTTCACTCTCAAACCACCAGAGTACCACTACTCCTTGGAAGGCCTCTCTTTTTAGCTTTAAGCATAGATACTTTATAACACAACAGAAACATACACTTACACCCACCAAAGATATTGTTCTGAGAAAACATTTTCAACTTTGAAGTTACAAAATAACCTATGAAAATTGTGTTTGTTACCATTTTTTTCACTGCTGAGTTTAACAAAACATTACTTCCAGCGTATCACAAAAGATAGTTTTTAAGGAGATAAATTAAAGACTTTTTCTCTGTTTTGTGAAAGAATATCTAGACCTTTCGAAACTTCAAACAAACAAAATTTCCCACTGCTTAAACTTAAAACACACACACTAAAGCAAAAGCAAATACCAAATACTAACAAAGTAAGTTTTCTTTAATGAGATCATGCAGCAGCAGCACATGTTAGGTGAACAAGATATTAATTACTGAATCTTTACTGATATTGTAGAATATAAACAATCATTTACAATTTGTGGAATGGATGTAGCTCAAAATAGAATCATAGAATGGCTTGGGTTGGAAAGGACCTCAAGGATCATCAAGTTCCAACCTCCCTGCCACAGGCACAGTTACCAGATGCTAGATCAAGTGCTACAACAGATTGCCCAGGGCCCCAACTAATCTGGCTTTAAACACCTCCAGGGACAGAGCATCCACAGTCTCTCTGGGCAGCCTGTTTCAGCACCTCACCACTCTCTCAGTAAAAAACTTCCCACTGACATCTCATCTAAATCTCCCTTCCTTTAGTTTAAAACCATTTCCCCTTGCCTTATCACTATCTACCCTTGTAAAATGTTGTTCTCCCTCATGTTTATGAACTTCCTTTAAATACGGGGAAGCTGCAATGAGGTCTCCCCACAGCCTTTATTAACAACATTTTTACAAGGAGTAGTCATTTCAGATTTGAGCAGCCTTTAACCTACTATATCTTTGGAAGTATTACTTAAATTTTCAAGAGTTAAGAAAATAATTTAAAAATTCAATGTATTTTTATGAATACTGAAAGAGAAGATAAATAAATATCCTTGAAAAAGACTAACTAGAAAGTCAGATGCAGTGAATGTGAAACCACATGCACTTCAAGAGAGAAAGCAGAAAGCAAGAAAAGAAAGAAAGAAAAGGCTCTGTTAATTATTATAAGCAAATAACTTCAGAAAAAACATACAACTAATTGCAATATTGTTTAGTGCTGAAATATAATGTACACTAACAGTATATTTATACTATACATATATACTTCATCAGAAGGTATACTGAAGGTCAAAATCTACAACATTTCAGATTACGAAGAAAACATTTATAAACATTACTTACACTAACACGGGTTTTCCTGATATCTTTGGGCTGTTTAAAACTTCAGTCATGGCTTCCTTTGTTTCTTCCATTCTTTCAATGTCACTAGAATCCACGACAAATATTACACCATATGACTCAGCATAGTAATTTCTCCATATGTTCCGAATTCGTTTTCCACCTCCTAAATCAAAGATGGTGACTTCAAAGCGTCCCTGTTTAAGGTCTATCTTGGAAAAGCCAACTGTTGGAGCTACATCTTCAGGAGACTCTGTCAGAGAGATCACAGAAGAAGAAAATTTTTACTGAAATTTTTTTAGTCATTTACAGAGAATTTTACATTGTAATTTCTACAGAAAAAAAACACTGTATTTTTTAAACACATGGAGCAAGTTTTCAATGTTACTTGAGCATGTTGTTAACTACACATTTTACATTAATATTTTACTTCTCCTCAGGATATTTTATATTAACACATACTCTCAATCAATTATTTTACATCGATTGAGATAGAAGCACCAGGGAAGAAAAAAACAAAAAGGAAAAAAGGCATTCTTTAATATTTAACAATACTGTTGAAGGGAACTGTTTTTTAGTTTTAATGACAGACCCATTCCATCCCAGGTGCACGCATCCAAACAGTATAGAATAGCATACAGCAGATGCATGGTATTAAACCCAGTCTGAGAAGCAAAACAAAACAGTCAGTGTATTATGACCTGGGAAGCCTTCCGAGTGAGAATATGCTCATCACACTCCACATGAGGATTCAGAATAGACAGACCCCCTGCCAGAGCAGCTTAGGCCAACACTCCAACAAGAGAATGGAACACCTGTTTGTGAAAGATTCCAACTTCAAAATTCAGTCTTTGTACTTACTGTACTTGCCTGTACAAGAGAACAATGAGAGCATGAAGGCTTGCTAAGGGTGCAAGTTACTTATGATGCAGAATTTAAGGTGATATTGTTGAAACATTCAGTCCTGTTGTACTGCAAGGTTCAACAGTAAACAGTCTGTGTGAAAAAACAGCATCTGCTGTATAAGCTGCAAATCCATTTTGGCAAATATAACTGCTGACAAGCTGATTTGCCCACATTTAAGAACCAAAATACATTTGGAGATGGTTCCTGCTAAAACCCACCAATCATAACTGTTGGTTATGATGCTGTTTTTACCAAGCTTGAAAAAAAAAAAAAAAAAAACAACCACACACACACTTGAAGGTTCTACCCTCTGCAAGTTGTTAGAGAACAATTTTATTCTTTTTCTTAAGACAAACACTATTCAAGTCACAGAAGTCAGAACTACCTTTTTTATAGAGCTTCTCTTTAGAAATATTTGTATCTTCTTTTTTTCTCCCTCCCAAAAAAAGAACTTTCAGAAATAACAGCAATTTTTATCTGATAAAGACATTAAAGTTTATCTTGAAACAGAATTGAAGGCTAAATAATGTACTCACATTTTCACAGTAAGATTCAGGAACACAAATGAGAGAACACATACATTATTCCTAACTTTATTCATAATTGAGCAAATCACTGAACTTCCATAACAAGTGTAAACAAAGTCAATTCAGAGTCTATCAAAACAATTTTCAGCAGTCTCTTGTGTAAATGAGATGGAAGTTGCTCAAAAACTTCAATCTCACAAGTAAAAAACACCTTAGAGAATATTTATTTTCAGAAGCACAATTCTTATCTCAAGTCTTATCCTGCTTGAAAGTAATATTGGGCAATGCAAAGTACCCTCCAAAATCAAGTGGTCTTTTACAGAAGAAAGTGCCCACAAAACCGCTAATGCTCTTCTGGAAACAAAAAAGAAACTATATAAAATATATATCACTCAAACTATTGCTTATGTTTATTGCTTATGTTATACACATGTACATGCAATTTCATTTTTTGGAACCTTTTCCTATTTTCTGTGTGATCAGAGATCACACAGCATGTGCAGGAAAACCAAGGGATCAGGTCCAGCCAGCATGGGTTCACGAAAGGGAAGTTCTGCCTAACCAAACTTATCTCTTTCTATGACCAGATGACCAGTCTGGTGGATGAGAGTAAAAGTTGTTGATACAGTCCACCTAGAATTTAGCAAAGCCTCAAACTCCATCTCCCACAATATTCTCATGGAGAAGCTGGCAGATCATGGTGTGTACTCTTCACTGGGTAAAAAACTGACTGAACAGAAGGGCTCAGATGGGGGTGAAAGGAGTTAAATCCAGCTGGTTACTAGTCACTAGCAGTGTTCCCCAGGGTCAGTACTGGGGCCTGTCCTGTTTAATACCTTAACTGGTGATCTGTATGTGGGGATTGAGTGAACCCTCAATAAGTTTGCAGATAACACCAAGTTGGGAGGAAGCGTTAATCTACTTGAGAGTAGGAAGACCCTACAGCAGGAACTGGATGAGTAGCCTTGGCCAATTGTATGAGGTTCACCAAGACCAAGTGCTGGGTCCTGCACACTGGTCATAATAATCCCAGGCAACACTAAAGATCTGGGGCGAAGCGACTGGAAAGCAGCAGGGAGGAAAAGGATTGGGGGGTGTCAGTTAACAGCTAGCTGAACACAACCCAGCAGTGTGCCCAGGTGGTGAAGAAGGCCAATGGCATGCTAGCTTGTAAGGGAATAGCGTAGAAACAGGAGCAGGGAGTTGATTGTCCCTCTGTACTCTTCACTGATGAGGCCTTACCCCAAGTACAGTGTTCAGTTCACAGCCTTCACTACAAGAAAGACAATGAGGCCCTGGAATGTGTCCAAAGAGGGGGAACAAAGCTGTGAAGGGTCTGGAGCATACGTCTTATGGGGAGCTGCTGAGAGAACTGGCATTGTTCAGCCTGGAGAAGAGGATGCTCAGGGGAGATCTGGTTCTCTACAACTGCCTAAAGGGAAGTTGTGGCGAGGTGGGAGTCAGCCTCAAGTAACAGTGATAGGCCAAGTGGTAATGGTCTCAAGTTGTACCAGGGGAGGTTCAGGTTGCATACTAGGAAAAATTTCTTAGAAAGAGTGGCAATGCATGGGAATAGGCTGTCTAGGGAAGTGCAGAGTCACTGTACCTGAAGATTTCCAAGAAACATGTAGATGTGGCAATGAGGGACATGGTTAGTGGTCATGGTGGTGATGGGTTGGCAGTTGGAATACAAGATCTTAGAGGTCTTTTCCAACCTTAGAAATCTTGTTATTCTATATTACTTGAAGCACAGGTGTTATACAAAGTCTACTGATACTTGCATGTTACTGAATGATCACCAGAAAGCTACTTTCGCACACATAACATGAAAAAAACACGGTCCACCAATTTCTCCAGCTTAGGCTGAGATGTGAAACTCTCCGTTAACCATAATATTCTCCTTCTTAATGTTAATTCAAACTAACTGTGAATTTGAACATTACCTACAGACTTGAGTAGTTTTCCAATACTTTCTTTTATTTAAATCAAGCAACACCATTCTTTCAGCTCTTTGTTGAAATACCCAAGAAAAATTCTTCCCACTCAAAAACATTCTACGATGCTCATTAAATCAAAATAAGAACCCTTACCCAGTAGAGATTTTGGTGCAAATTTGCACTACAATAACAATACAGGGGGTACTCAAGGCATGTAAGTACTAAGGTACTCTGAACACTGACTTGAGATTTCCAAAATAATAAAAAATGCCTCTGAAGATTAGTTTTCTGTGTGCGTGGATCAAAGGTTCTAGTGCTGCACAGAGCATTTATGCTGTCTTAAGAGGCAGCCCTCTCCATTATATTCACCTCACCTCTATAATATACTACTATTCTTGAATAGTAGCAATTCTGCTTGTCAGCTGCTGCTGGTGTGTTAAGCACCACTACACTCACTCAACATTATCTTAACTATAGTGGTTAAAAAGCAGAGCTTGCTCTACTACTTCCCCTGAGCATAATGTACGTGACTAGAAGCACCTACTTTTTTAATGTCACCCTAGCATGATGTGCCAGATACCAAAAATCAGGATCTTTGTCTCCATACAAAACCATTTAATTTTTTCCTTCCATGTGATACAGCCTGCAACTTGTTCACTTTTGCTACCTCCAGACTCCTAGAGAAGTGCACAATCAGCAAAAATTTAATTTCAACACATACAATGACAGGAAGAGATAAATCAAGAGATGAAGAAATGTTAGATGAAAACGATGCAAAGCAAGTAATTATACTATTTCAACAATACATTTAGATGATAAATTAATTGCTTACCTCCTTGAATTCCTCGGACTGTAGCAGTTTTACCAGCATTATCAAGACCCACCATTATTAATGTCACCTTCCTCCAAAAACAATGAAAAAAAGAGAAAGATATTTCAAGTCCTTTTCTTTCTTGCCAGACATCACTTTTTTATTAGGTTTATTTTTTTTTAAGAAACATTCATATCAAATTTCCCACAAAGTAGTATAAAGAATTAATCTCAAAATATCTAATTTGCAGACATTGTTACATTTGTGTATCTGCCGTTGGATATGTCAAACTATACCAAGGTACAGTATTGTACTGTAAGTTTCATGAGACAAATTATATTTGTCCACTAAATTTTAATTTCACGGTACTGTAGATTTCTTTTCTTCATAGTGTTTACCTCTTTAGTAGTTTCTTTAAGTTAGTTTCCACTCCTTGAATTTTTATCATCTCTGTCTCAGACAAAACTGTGGTCTTGCTTATACCAGCAATTTCTGTATCAACCAGTGAAACTGAACAACGCCATAAAAGAATTTAAAAAGTGGGTCAATAACGTAGGACACTATAAGCTAAGTGGCTCTGGTACTCATCATGTCTTCTTTTTCCCCAAGCAGGAACAACTGAAGCTGCAAATGTGCAAATCAGTGGTGTTACTAATATACTCTGTATAATCAAATTAGTGCACAGAACAGAATTTGTACTAGGACAAGATTTTAAGTAAAGCCACAGGAAAAAAATACTGATGTGTAGACCCTGATTATTCCTCCAATTCACGAATACTCAAACAAGTAAAAGAAATTTGCTGAACTTTATGCTCCTAAGTGAAATAATACTAAATGCATCACTATTTCCAGTCTTGAAACTACAGTAACATCACAAATGAAGTTACATTCATCTACATTCCTTGAGAAGAGGCAAAAAGCTCTGAGAAACCCAAAAAATGAACAATGGGATCCTACTAAATTATACTTTAAACATAAGCCATAACTGGAACAGCCATGAACTTACAACTGTCTACAAATAGCTCATATCAAAAAGCTGTTTAATTCAGTATACTCCTCTAAGCAGCAGCACGGTCAGCAAAACCTCAACTTTTCTAGCACACAAGATCAAATCCTCATACATGAGTGAAGTTAAATATATATATATATATATATATATATATATATATATATATAGTGCTGTACCCCTTATTTCCCTTCTCCCTTCTTTCTAGTTTGTAAGCAGTTTGAAATAAAGTCTATGCATCTTCGCTAACTGGAGGGAAAAGAATGTTGTGCGTCAAAACAAAACTAACATAAAAGGAAAAACAGTTACATTCTAGAAGCAGGAATGGATCACCAAGTTGATCACAAAATGCAGCATCAAGGTACTTAAAAGAAGGAACTAGAATTACCCTGGGGTTACAGCATACTCTTGACAGTATTTTAACAAACTACACTTCATAATCTCAAAACGCAGAAACCAAATTGATTAAATTTTACATAAACATTCTAGCATCTCCCCATAGGAAACTTTATGCAACAAATGGTATTTTGAACTTTATACTTTCAGTCAGAAACAAATTATCTTCATTATGAGCGTACATGTAATTTGTAAGTTCAGAATACATACTGATTATCACTTGGAGTTAAAATATATATATAAATTGGAATTAAAAAAAAAAAAAAAAAATACTAGGAATGAAAGTAAAACACTGGTGAGATTATGTGAGATAAAGTTTGGGAAGAAGGTCAGCACAGAAGCGGAAATAAATACTTTCACATATTTACCTGACAGGCTCCTGCCACCGTTTTAGCCAGGTGCAACAATTGGCCATTAGGTTGAACATCTCTCTTCACTAGCCATTCAGAGCCTTGAAAACTACAGAAACAACATGAACAGGTCAGACCAACACAGGAAGACTGGGAGACTGCAGAGGCTCAGGTATTGACCTGTCACCCCAGCAAGAAAAACAAATGCAGTTAGTCCCAACATGTAACCAAGACAAACCATCCGTATGCACAGCATAGAGCAGCAGCAACCTGTTTATTCAGTGTCACTCAACCCCAACAAAGTCCCACTGCATCTTTCACCCTTTCACACTTTGCTTGCCCATGTTTGGGGCATCTGGGTAGGAATACCACAGCACTTACACAAAATAATAATGCCAAACCTGTGCACATCAGGAAAACAGCAAGTTAGAGCAGCGCAACATATAAAGCCATGAAATCCAGCACTTGTTTAGCAATTGCATTGGACAGTGCTCCTGGCTATGCAATAACAGCCAAATTCAAGCACAGGTAAGACCTAAGAACGTAACATAATAAGATATGAAATGCAAACAAAATGTCATACCCACTACATATATTCATTTACCATCAGTTTCTTTTATGCGTCAAGGAAACCAGGTTCTCTAGAGGGTACTTTGAGGAATAGGCAACTTAGTATACTACTTTTCACAAAATTAAAGAGTAGAATCAAATATGTCATTTTACAATTCCATTTTCTACCCTCCAAGTGTGAGGAAAAGAAACAGAACATTCCTTTCTGATGCTGCTCTGTGGAATAAAATATGGGGAATGACTGCCTGATTGCATGTATGTCTAATAAGTACAAAACAGTGCGGCTTACACAAATCATGCCTTCATCACTGTTATTGGCAGGCTCTTGTGCTGGTCACAGAGCTTGCTTGCTTTACTGTAGATTGGAGTCTAGAGCTTGCTAGTGGCTGGGAAAGGCAGCATGGGGGTTGCTTCTCCCTTGGGAAAAGGCAAATCTATTTGTGGCATAATCTTTGCACAAATACCCAGGTGCGCTTGATTGGTAATATAGAGAAAATTTCCTCAAGGAGATATAAATCTGGGGGAAAATAACACAGTATTCCAGTTGTGTATTACAAAAACTATTTAAACCAAGGCAGGATGAGCCTTTTGCAGGGGAACCAGGACTGTGCAGCAGCAACTCACTCCAAGCCCATCTTGGCATCCCACCGTCCGACATGCCACTAGTCCTGTACTGGACAGCAACCTCCACAGATAGGGCCCAACTCATCAACTCTTCTCACAGACATTTGCCAAGGGGGTAGGGAGTGAAACATACTGAATAGACGACTAATATCTGTGCTACGTCAAAGGATGGTGGTTAATCAAATACCAATCTCTCCTCTAGAGGTTGTCACAAAGACAGATGTTCTCTACTGGTAACTTGTCTCCATGTCATCAGAAAGCAGTAACACTTTGAACTGCCACAGCAAATTTCCTGAAGCTCATTTCTCAAAGTTTATTTTTTAAACAAATTAATTCCTTTGTTATTTTAAGTGATAACTAAGCTCAAACTAAGCCATGTTCAGGAGAAGCAGAAAACTGAGTAATTAAGGATAACTTTCTAAACTTCTTCCTAATTTAAAGTAATCAAAGTAGGGAAAAATTGAGAAGCTATCCTTGACAAACACACATTATCCCGAACAAAGAATGATAGTTTAAATAATTTATGCAGGTAGTAACTGAAGACTCCTGACCTTACAAAGCTGTTGTATTCAAGGATGACTTTGTACGAGTCCGACATTATTTAATATCACAAACAGATCAGATTTCTTCCAGAGCAGACAACAGATATTCTTTAAATATTTACATTGCTATGTATAAGAGCACCTTAGCTTCTCCAGAAGACTAGTGTGTAAGGAACAGAGAGGCTCCTTAAGAAGAAAGCAAGACGATTTTGTATTCCAAATACAAAAACCAGGCTCTGAACAACCATAAAAGCCTCCAAGAAAACACATGCCATGGAATACAGTGCCTAGACCAACAAGCAAGTACCAACAAAGTTAATCATGAGAACATGAATACACAAATTCATTTTCAGGACATGGGCGTCACCACTGAACAAATCTTTTCCCACATTATACATGCTGTCCAGCTTTACAAATTCCAACAAAACTGCAGTAAAGACATTGCCTGCAATATTCAACAGACATTGTGTTCTGCTATTTTGCAGATATGTATAGCTCATTAACAGCACACACATGTTGCTCCAGCTATAACATTTGTTAGTTTGAACTCTTTGAGATGAAGCAAAACCAACAAGCCCACAAGCTCAGAAATCGATAAAACTGTATAGTTAAGCTATAACAACACTTAAGTAGCAAGTCAGCATAAGTGTCAGGGACAAAAGCTGTGAAAGATTCAACTTTCAGGTAAGAGAACATAAAGAGCACAGAAACTAAGAAAACCATAATAAATAACCACATTAACCCTTGTAATTCTATATTAGGATCAAGAGCTACTTAGCAGCCCATATGTAATGTGATCCAAAATACCAAGTACCAGCAAGTACAAAACTCAGAGGAATCTGTTAATCTGATTATTTTTTTTCCACATCAAAATATCTTTTAGATACTTCACTGTCAGGAGTTTACATGAAGCATTCTGCCCTTGGTAGAGAATTTTTCATTGTAATATCAATCCTTCATCTTCCTTAAATAATAAGCAAAGCATTTAAAGCTTACCCTTCTCAGCAAGTTTAACTATTTCCTGCTACGCTGCTCCTTAGAATCGTTTGAGTTAGAAGGAATCCTTAAAGGCCATCTAGTCCAACCCCACCACAATGAACACGGACACCTACAGCTCCATCAGGTTGCTCAGAGCCTGGTCCAGCCTTCCCCGAATGTCTCCAAGGATGGGGCATTCACCACCTCTCTGAGCAACCTGCTTTACAACTACCCTTACCATAAAAAAACTTCTTTCTTAAACCCAAAATAAATTTCTCTTCTTTTAGTCTGAAACCACTCCCCCTTGTCCTATCACAGCAGACCCTGCGAAAGCGTGCTCTCTCCTTTCTCATAATCCCCCTGCAGATACTGAAAGACTGCTGCCAGGTCTCCTAGTCCGACTTGTTTGAATTTTATCAGTAAAAACAAAGAGCTCTCGTTGAGTCGCATTATGTTTTGAACAGCCAGCCAAGCAACCGAGCAGTGACGGAGGCACGCTTCACCCAAGTCTGAATACCATCGTTTCAGCCAAAACTTCAGCGTAGCCAACAGGCACACAAAGTACAAGCAGGAACAGCACTGGGCTTGCTGGTTCCTTTGGGTCACGTAACGGGACTTTGGGTCACATCACACCTGGCTTGCTCTTAAACCAGAGTGACAAGAGTTAATGCGTTCTGCCGATACAGATCCCAACCGAGTCTCAAAGGCCCTCCCGGCTCCACACTTACCAGCGATCGAGGCGCGGCGGTGCGGCCTAGGCGGGCCGGGCGGGACGGCGCGCTGTTGCGGGGGCGGCTGCAGTCCGCCCCGCCGCGCCGGGATCACGTGCCCAGCGGCCCGCTAACGCCAGGCCGCCCATTGGTGGAAGCCCCCATCGGTAGGGACGCGTAACCAGGCCGGTAACCCCGGGTTACCGCCAACGGGAGGGGAAAAAGGACAAAATTCTCGCAGACCGAGAAACGCGGAGGAGGGCAGAGCCGCGCCGGGGAGGAGAGGCAGGCCGGCGATCGGCCAATAGGAGCGCGACTCTCCGCACCGCCCGCGGCGGGCCGGCCGATCGGCGGCGAAGAGGCGCCGCCGGCTTTCTGCGCCTCGTCCCCCGCGCGGGGGGACCCGAAGGCGGCCGGGTGGAGATGTGCCCTTCGGCGCGGGCGACGCTCGGCCCGTTCCCGCCGGGAAGAAGCCTCTCCGCCCGGCAGCTCCCGGCGATGCGTCCCGCGGAGCACTCCCGCCTCGCTCCCCGAGCCGGGCGCAGACGGCGATCATCGCCGCGGCGCTGCCCCCGGCGCCCTGCTGACGCTCGGGCCGGGCACGGTCGTCGGCCTCGGCCCAGCCTCCCCCCCCCGCCCCGCCGCCCCTCCCTCCCGCTCCCAGAGGCTCGCCCGGCCCCGCCGCCCCGCAGAGGAGCCGTCGCGCAGTCCCGGCGCCGTGCCCGCTCCCCGCCGCCCGCCGGCAGCGATGAGGCCGCGGGGCGGGCGGTGCGTGCCGCTGCTCGCCGGCCTGGCGGTGGCCGTCGCGCTGGCGGAGGCCGCGACCTGTGAGTGGGGCGGGGGGCGCGGGCGGTGGGGAGAGGGCTGACCCGAGCGACGGGGCCCTCCGGATGGGAGCTGTGCGCTCGGAGTCGCGGTCCGCGGATACGGCGGGGGCTGCGGGGCCGAAGGGCGGTGACCAAAATCCAGCGCTGGGGCTCAGGGAGAGCCTCTCCTACCTAGCGCTTGGTCCTCTTAGATACGGTTGTGTATCTGGGGCAGCTAGAATTAGGGCTGAAAGCAAGCCTGCTTCTGACGCGTCTTACTAATGATTAAACGGGCAGAAGAGAAAACTAATGTTTACTAAATCAGACTAATGTTTGAACGGCAGGGATTCAGGCTAGGAGGAGAAGGGTACGGAAAGATGAAAATTCATTTTAGAAATTAGGTTTGAACCGGCCCTAAAAATAGGCTTTTTTCAACATCTCCCTTTCTCCCACTTTTGAAACACTTTCATAGAATTGTTTGAGTTGGAAGGGACCCTTAAAGGCCATCTAGCCCAACTTCCCTGCAGTGAACCCACAGCTAGATCAGGGTGCTCAGGGCTCCACCTAACCTCACCTTGAGTGCCTCCAGGGATGGGGCATCCACCACCTCTCTGGACAACCTTTTCCAGTGCCTCACCACCCTTATTGTGAAACACTTTTTCCTTATATCCACTCTAAATCTCCCCTCTTCGTTTGAAACCATTTAGCCTTGTGCCATTGGCAGACCCTGATAAAGAGTCTGTTCCCTTCTTTTTTATAGCCTCCCTTCAGATACTGAATTTATATACTTTATTTCAAAGTATTGTTCCAAAAATAATGCTTCCTACTTATTTATATTAAAATGACAACAGATACAAACAGCACAGTAATGCTGTTTGATAGAACAAATTCTCAACTACTAAACACTTTTTCTAACATAGGCACCGCCTTAGCTATGCATTTTCACCAGTGATGAACAAGAGAATGCATGCCCCACTTTTAAACATCCACACCAGCGGAGGTGACCCACTGTCACTTTGCCCACTGCTACAACGCACCACCTTCTTCCTGACATCCACTCTTTGGTTTCCCTAAATATTTAGCAAGTGTTGATGAATGCTAGTGGGTGCCATTTTTCCCACAGGGAGGAATTTGGTGACACACTTTTGCTTCATACACACTTCCATGTCAGATGTCATTTTGTCAGACTGCACATCTGTTGCTATCTGTTGCACAGCAACAATATATGATGGAATACTGATGAGAAGGTTCAGCCTCTACTGCCATAGCACCAACATCTGCCTCTGACATCATGGGCCAACAGAATAAGATAGGAGCAGGAGGCCTCATATGTACACTGTTCTTTTTTACACAAATGGCTAATCTGTAATAACATACAGCAGTGAGCTGGACTAATTGCAAGCTTTATAAATGTTCTTGTTGTGCAGCATAAGTGTGTATAAGTTTTAGGCAAGACAGAACATACAAACATTAGCAGTTAGTTGACTTTAATTTGTTGGTTGCGTAAAGCTTATGTCACAGATGTGCATTTCTAAAGACTCTAGGAATTATGGAGCTGACCGCAATATAGCAGCTCTACAAATAAGACAATTCCACTAACGAGAGTGTCATCAGTTTTAGTTTTTGTTCATTGTATTGGGTCTGTGAAGTTTCTCTGACAGCAGTAGTAGGCTACAACAGCTTTCCACAACCAGGGTATTTGATAAGCAGCTCTAAGCTGTGCTTAACTAGCCCACTTAAAGCAAGTTTGTGGCTGTCTGTGCACTACAAATTAGCGTTAAGGAGCCACTCAGTCTTATCCTTTTTTTTTTTTTATTTCTTTATCAAGAGTATTGGTTTTAAACATGCATTTGATAACTAGACACCACACTGTGTCTGTGCAGAGCTTGTTGGTTGAAACTGTAGCCAGGATTTCCAAGAGGCTTCAGTGATACTTAAATAAAATACCCTGAGTTCCTTAAGGGTTAACTATTGGTTTGGCAGGGTCAGGAGTTCACTGGAGTTTCCTGTAATCAAACTGGCAGGAACGGCAGAGAGGATTTTTTTTTTCCCCCTATTAAAGTCCTGTCATGATCCTTGTAAGGAAAAAACAGTTAAGTAAATACACTACTAAGTCTGTACATGTGAATTGAAATATTTTCAATAAAAATTTGTGCTAAGGCATCTTAATTAAACTTAAAAGCTTAGAGAAGTATAAATGGAGGCTAAAGTACCGTATTGTAAAAGAATATGCCTATTTCCGCTACCCCACTGTATTCAAAGCAGGTAGTTTTATATCTGGGGTCATGTCCTCCAAAACACTGTACTTGGAATTTTATTGCACGTTATTTATTGGAAAAGTGTGTTGAAATGAGAATGATAGTCAAAACAAGAACATTTTAAGTCAGCTGTGAACTAGGCCTCATCTTCACCACAGAGCCTCTGCCCCAGTGCTGTATCAGCAAGCTTACACTGGTGCTAACCATAAACAGAGTTTTTCTGCTTGCACACTTACTTAGTTTTTCATGGTAGCATACACCAATGAAAGCTCTTTTCTATCAGCATAACTATATATATACACACACACATATATATATATGAGTTCTGTGCTTTTTGAGACATTCCAGCAGAGCTTTGTACTGAAGTCTTGGCCTCATTACTGTTGTGGATCAGTCTGCACCTTACAGAAATCTTTCCAGTCTCTGATAAGACTAACTCATAGATGATATATGTAAGAAGAAATGAATCCTCCAAAATTAGGCTGATGCCTACTCAAATACTCAGAACAGGGCATAAGCTGTCCTCTCCTCCTTGCATTTCTGAGCAACTTGCTGGTTACTTTCTGAGACAAGGATGTGCTTCTAAGCTTTAGAGGTATGCTGTAGTAGATCTGCCTTCTCAGAAAATCTTACCTATTGCCATACTGTATAATCAGCAAATATTAAGCAATGTGATTAGGCTGGTATCTACAGATCATATAACTAGAAAGGTTATCACAGTGGAAAGCGGAAAGGGATAAGTGAAAATAAATGAACTGCTCACCCATGTCCTAGGCTTGCAAGAAAACTCCAAAGGGAGCTATCTCCAGAAAAAAATCCTTCCCCCCTCACGGTCAGCCCTTAAATGGGGTCTAGGAGAGGTGCAGCCAGGCTCCACCCCTTCTGGTCACACAGCTGAATTGCTTTCACCTGTGTTCCCAGGGCTGACTCAGTGCTTGCCTCAGCTGATCAATCAGAGGTTCAGGTTGTGATTTAGCTGTTCCTAGACACCATAACATAAGGATTAATCTTATCAAATACACCAAAGAAATCAGTGCTCATCCATTTTTTTCTTAATAACAAGGTACGTCTAAAAATAAAATCAATGAGGCAGTCTAATTTAGTCTCTTTCCCCATAATATTGTGTGCTCTGCAAAGAACGCTGGACCAAATGGATATCTTTCTATTGTAATACAATTTCACAACTCATTTCATTGTCAATTGTCTAAGTGTCAATAAAATAGCAAGAATAAGATATGTGAATATTAGGAATGACTCATAACATGATCAATTTGAAATACAAAAGTTAAATAGGATTCTGTTTTACCGTCAAACGTGAATGTAGTTTCAGGTTGTTGGCCTTGATATTTTTTGGAATATCATTATCTTTTACTTTGTCATATTCTTTGTGATTTTGAAAAATTAAAATGACTGTGTTAATTACAGATAACAGGTAGCCTGATTTCTATAAGACACATTTTTGATCACATATATAGGAACAGAATATTTACTTCTAGGTCAAGAAAACAGGTAATAGAGTAATTGAGAACATTTTTCCATTTTTCAGTCACATATCTCATTTACAACATCATAGCTTAAAAAAAAAAGACTGAATATAACATTTAAATTGTGCTTCAGACACAGCATTGCATAAGGTTTTTGTGGTGACTTGGCATTTTTTTGGTCAGAAATAGCTAGGAAATGTACCAAGAACAAAATCCTGGAATGTTTGTGCCTATACTAAATGATAGGAAACAGCCACTTCATGAGTGATCACTTAATTCAGACTTTTGTAAGAGAACCTCATGTTTATCTCATATTTCAGCAGTTAAAAATAAATAACAGCTCCTTTGTTTCTACCAAGTTTTATCCCACCAGTATGCCTCCGAGTTCCTGGTGAGGAAACGTCGAGCAAATTCTTTTATGGAAGAAAGTAAGAAGGGAAATTTAGAAAGAGAGTGTGTTGAAGAATTATGCAACAAGGAAGAAGCCAGAGAAATCTTTGAAAATAATCCTGAAACTGTAAGTATGTGATGAATATCTGTGAGATAAATAGTAGTTCTTTGCAGTGGGATTCTAGAAGTACATAGAATTCACATTGCAAAGCTTAAAAAAAACCCTCAAACCTTGCAGACCATGAACTGGGCTGAAAGTCTCCTGCGTATAGAATCAATTAATACTAAACGACATATAAACAAAGAGAATAGTTGAGTAGATATTATTTTGATTTCAGGTATGGATCACCAGTTTTAGACCACGGTTGTCTGCGAGCATGCCATGTGGGGAAAGCCTGTTAGCTTCAAATAAAATTTTACACAGAGGATGCATGCCAGTGCAACTCTTTTAATGAAGGGATCGAATGTATTACTATGAGCTTTTTTCCTAGTGGAGATAACTGTTCTTCAGCTCATTCCCACTGCACAGTATTTAGCATTAGGAATATTGTATTCAGCTTCATCCTGTAAAGGCGTTGTTACGTACAGAATATGTGATTAAGATGAATTCTTGTTTTGCAAGCCATATGTTAGTTCTATGTTCTGTCTTTGATAACATTGCATATATTTGGAGATACTGTTTGTTGATATTTAAGTAAAAAAAAACAAATTGTTTCAGTAATCAGTTGTTTATTA